TACACTGAATTTAATGAAAATAATATTGAATTCGTACCCATATAACTAGTCACATGTCCAATGACCACAGGATTCTCAGTTTGTAATTTAGCTAAAACGTCGTTCTTATTTTTCTCCGAGCAAATAAGAATAGCGCCAATGCCACAATTAAACGTTCTTAACATTTCCTCTTTATTAATTTCACCTACGAATAAAATAGATTACTTCGAAAAGAGGGATTGAATTAATTCGATTAATTATTTAAATTGTTGCCTTGCCTGTAGCCGCTAACCAACTAAAAATTGGCTGAATTTTCCACGTTGTCGCATCCAATGCCACTCCCATATTTTTCGGCAAAATTCTCGGTATATTTTCTGTAAGACCTCCTCCAGTAATGTGTGCAAATGCCTTTACTAAATTCGTTCGTAAAGCAGAAATTACAGCTTTTACATAAATTTTCGTTGGTTCCAACAATTCGTCACCTGTAAAATGTTGTAAATGAAAAAATATCTTTTCTTCATACAGAGCATGAAATAAATTATAATATATAGGATACTAAAATAGATTACCGATTGTGCGATTATTTTCTGAAAAAGGTGCAATGTCCGAATATTTTTTATCTGCTAATTTTAATATTTTTCGAACTAAACTAAATCCATTACTGTGAACGCCACTTGATGGAAGACCGATTATGATATCGCCTTCCTTTACATCATCCACGCGTGGAAGTAAATTGTTTCTTTCAACTGCACCCACAGCGAAACCTGCTAAATCATATTCTCCATTGGAATACATGTCAGGCATCTCTGCTGTTTCTCCTCCGATCTAAAAGAATTATTTACTTCCTATGTTCTTATCAAATTATTAATAGAATGAGAAACCGAGTAAATATGCTTTTACTTACTAGTGAACATCCAGCTCTTTTACATCCTTCATTCACTCCACTTATAACATCCTTGGCTACATTAATGTCTAATTTACCACAAGCAAAATAATCGAGGAAAAATAATGGTTCCGCGCCATGCGCGAGAACATCGTTTACGCACATAGCTACTAAATCTATACCCACTGTATCATGTTTCTTACATTCGAATGCTACCTGCAGCGATAAATTGATGTGTCATACATACATAAGTATATTAAATTTTTATAATCTATGTAGTTATGCACCTTTAACTTAGTTCCAACACCATCAGTTCCGGATACTAAAACTGGATCTTTATAATTGGCAGCTTTTATATCAAACAAACCACCAAAGCTACCAATTGAACCCATTACACCCGCACGTTTTGTTGAAGAAGTCATTGATTTAATATTTGATACTAAAGAATCTCCAGCTTCTATATCTACACCGCTGCTCTTATATGTTAACTGACCATTTTGTAGTATAGATCTAAAAATATTAATCAATTGAATTCTTTCTCTTTTTTTAAATATTTCTTATAAGTTACCTCGCTATTCCTTTGTGTGCTATGTCTGTTCTATGCTGTTTTCCTTCAAAGGATATCCTTTGAGCAGCGTTTGTTGCTTTAGCAGCAGCTAAAGCCAACGAGGGTGCTAAACTCACTGTAATTAAAACTCTTCCTCCTGATAAGAAGTGATGAAATGTTAGAATGATGTTAGATTTATATATAATTAATTACCTATAAAATTTACCGTTGGTTAACAATTTTCCGTCAGGAGAAATGCTTGTCCCGCTATGAAAAACAAAGTGATTTGGCTTATGCAGAATATCTTGCACGCCTGTTATAACTTGGCCCTTTGAGGATGATGCTGGGTAACCACGAGATGCCAAAATAACACCAACAGCGTATAAATTTTGTTCCCACAAGACTAGAGATTCATCTAAAGAACCCTCGCAACAAGCCTATATTCATATGTACTACATTAATTTTGATTATATTTTTTCATACTAGGATATGAATTACCTTCATGATATCAAACAAGTCTGATTTCAACAGTGGCAATACTACTTGCGTTTCAGGATCTCCAAATCTACAGTTAAATTCTAGAACTTTAAGCCCGTCCTTTGTTAACATTAAACCAGCATACAGTACGCCTACATATTTTAAAACAATCGATTAGTATACTACTAAATTATTCATAAATTATAGCTATATCTGTTATACAGACCGACAAATGGAATTTGCTCTTGTCTAAGGCCATCGACCGTCTTCTGTAGAATCTTTGATCTCACTACTTCATAATCTGTTTCACTCAATAATGGACATGGGCAATAAGCACCCATCCCACCAGTATTTGGTCCTGTGTCTCCATTGTATATTCTTTTATGATCTTGTGCAGGTGTCATTGGTACAATTGTTTTACCTAGTATCAGAAGAATTATTTACTAAAAATTTAGGAGAAAATTGAGCAGTTTTTATTCGTCATACCATCTGTGAATGTAAGCACAGAAACTTCTTCTCCTTCCAATAATTCTTCAACAACTACTGATTCTCCAGCAGATCCAAATTTTTTCTCTGTTAAAATTTCATCAATAGCCTTGCATGCTTCTTGTTTATTTTTCGCCACTATAACACCTTTTCCAGCTGCCAAACCAGAAGCTTTTATCACAAGTGCTGGAAATGGTGCACTATAATAAATTATTGTATATGTAATATCTCACTTCATAATCTACTTATAAATAAGATTTTATATTTACTTCATAACAAATTTCTTTGCTTCTTCTGCATTTACAAATCCCTTCCATCTAGCAGTAGGAATCTGATGTCTGTCCATAAATTCTTTTGCCCAATGTTTATCCGCTTCAATCCTGGATGCAGCTTTTTCTGGACCGAAGCAATTGATTTCCACATTTTTCAGTTCATCTGCCAATCCATTTGCCAAATATTCTTCCGGGCCAACGACTACTAAATTTACTTTATTTTCTTTACTCCAATTTGCCACTTCCTATTTAATTAGAAGCATTATATTTATGTAAATCATGTATATAACAATTTTTATTTTAAGGAAATAGAACAAAATATACCTTATAATTCTTTACATTTAATTCGACTAAAGAAACCTTGTCAACTGATGCGATCCCACTGTTC